ATCGTCAGTGATAGCTTCAAACTTCGCTGATTAAGATCCACTCGCAGTTTATATCTATATTTATTTAATTAATATGTGATGATGGCAATACTAATGTGTGCCTTTGGAGCATGCCCAAGACAAGAGGCTCTCAACATGGTCGCAACGCGGGGAACAATGTGTATATATATATATACACATTAAATGCCCATGGCGCATGGCTTTGCTTTTTTATGGTCTTTGAGGAGTCCCGAGATTCCAAGATGCAACCTCCACTTGTTTGGGTTTTAAGCATCGGCTTTCTATTGGGACGTCTTCTCGTTGCAGAAGTTTCGTTCACGTGTCACCGTTGGATTGCAGGCCGTCCTGGGCTAACACAAGTTGTAACATCTACGCAAAGAGGACCACAGCATTGTATGTGGGTGTTCTGAAAAAATAGGGAGACCTCGCAAAGACATCCAAAGACCCCCTGGAAGCAGGGACATAGACCAAAACCCAACTAAAAAGGTGAACACCCTATTGATTTGCACAATTCCATTTGTACATATGGTACATATGGCTGAAACACTTCTGAGATTGGGACCCTGCATTGAGGTACCCGGGTTTGCAACCAGCATGGCGAGTCATTAAGCAACAGCGAGCGGAACCAAGTGGAGATTGCTTCGAGTTTGTGGCAAGGTGGTCGAGGACGGCTATGAGTTCTTTGCCAAGCGCCAGCTCATCACCCTATTTAGTGCTCCGTGGCCAGGCTGTATGGGCTGCATACGCAAACTCCGTTTTGCAAGTTGATCGTAGCCTGTGGCCACTGAGGAACTACTGTGGTGAGTTTGACAATGCAGGGGCGTAGCTTGACATGAAAACCTTTTGAAAGCAGCTGAGTCATGTCATTTAAGTCGCTCTTTTGCCGAGGATGATGAGCATCGATGAGACACTCATGTGCAGCTTCAAAGCCAAGCCCTTGCAGTTTTTTGAGCGTTCGTTTTTTTCCGCCGGCTTGGTGTGCAACTGATGGCAGTGATCATGTTTTTGACACTCGAGTCTCGGCAAACTAGCAAAGTGTTCTTTGTGGCGACTGCAGGATGCATTGCGATGCCAAGGTCTTGAAGCCAGTGAAGGGCAAGAAATAGAATGTTGGTGACATCCGTCAAAAGTGGCTAGGCAGAATGACTAAACATGCTATCACAGAGGCTTGATGGACTTAAAGAAACACACCGTGTCATTGTTTTGGCAACCGGGCCCTTGATTGAACAAAATTATATATAAACAGTTATAAACAATTATAATAAACATTGGGACGTTGAGCGCTCGAATGCCAGGTGGAAAACACTGAAGAGATATGAACAAAGGAATGAACAAAGGCTGTCAACATGTGAGTGCTGTGAGTCTTCCTGGGTGCTTGCTGTGCAGTGAATCCTAATGCGAAAATGCCGCTTACGCAGAAGCGCTCCATATTTCGGTGCAGAAGCCGTGAGTGCTTGATATTCCCCTAAGAGGTCATGCTTGCTGTCGTGGACCCAAAAAATGGCACTCCGACTTTGCGCCCAATTTACGTCTCACACCAGTGATCTAATAGCGGAGGGATGCTCCCAATTCTTCGGGCGGCTTCCATTGGGCGTCACAGGGCCGACCGGGCATGTTCCACATCCTAGCTCCAGTCCACCCAGTGCACACGTGCAGTGTTTTGTCGAGTCCTGTGTCTCTGCGGGTGCTCTCGTTACCGGCAGTGATAGGAATCTGCGTTCTGATTTTGCGGCTGATTGTCTAAGGCAAGGCTCTTGGATCGAGGGTCGTGGCACATCATTTGTAGCATCAAACGATGCATATTACAATCTATTATAGCTGAAAAGAAGCCTAGACGAAGCTGTCCTACAACCTGGTGACCTGATGCCAAGATGGCACACCCACAAAATGTCCTCGCATATATATATAGTCACACTGGATTTGCCATCTCCAAGCAGAGATGTATACATGCAAATCCTGGGCCAAGCTCATTGAGAACTCATGATTGAGCTTTGAGTTCTTCAAACTGTTGTGATGCTTAATCAGTATGCTAAGCAGAAGCTAGGACCTGAGTCATATATAACTCATATGATGAACTCGCCGCTCAACGACAGTGGCCAATCGCAGTCTTCGCTTTTTGCGTGAATCTCGAGATTTTGCCTTGGGTTCACGGCGAACTTTGGAGCTGCTTTGTCACTGAGAGTGTCCAACCGTGACTGCTGTAGGATCTGGACTTGTGCTCAAAAGGAACAAAAGTTCATTGGTATTGGATGCGTGATTGATGATGCATGACTTTCTCTCAGTTGGAACTTGGAGAACGTGGTGAATCCCCAAGACAGGCCAACGTGGAGAGCTTGAGGCATTTCTTTTGGTTTGCCTGTGGATCTTCTCAGGTGCATGGATGACATTGGACCCGACGAAGCTGTGTGGCAGTGCCCTGTGTGCAACAACAAATTGCATGACACGGAGGCAGGATTCATAACTTGCATCATAGCTTACATCATAACCGACCTGGCTATGAGCAACTGGCACAAACGACCTGCGCGGAGGAATGTGCAAGAGGTTGGCTTCGACTGCGCCAGTGGGAAACTTGAGATTTACACTCTTGATTTTTGTGCATCCTGCCGGCTTTGTCTCGTGTTGATGTTAGTTTTTTGATATTTCTTCTAGAGTGTTGCATATAACATGCACGAGGTCTTGCCCAACATGCCGATCGACTGCATGGGCACCTCCAGAGGCAGACTATGCCCATGGCAGCTCCACGCTGCATTAAGCAGTAATGGATTGATGCTGGGCAGCTCTAGCTGGAAAGTGCTATCATATCTAACGAGTTGGATGCAAAACGGGCATGTGCTGGTGATTGCACTGCCTGAACTCTTGAGAAGTGCCTGACAAATGCAGGGGCCTTTAGGCGGACCGTTTGAAAGGGAAACCGGCTGCAGCACTATTCAACCTTTGATTCTGATATTTCTCCATCAATGCCCGACAACCCAAGAGAGCGGTTGACTAACCAGGCAATTCGCCAGGCACCTGCCGGAGTCAAATTCTACACAGATCGATTATTGTCACACATAGTGCTTTGGTGCCATGTTCGACAGTCCAAATAAATGGCTGGGACAGACCAACCTTGAATCGGCAAGCAACGCGAACTACTATATGCGTCAAGTCTCCCTTTGGAGCACCAGTAGTGTAACCATAAACAGACGCTCCAATGCCGTAAGGCGGCTCAAAAACTCGTGAGCATAGGAGTTCACAAGTAGTTGTCAAGCAGGTGGTGATAGACATGGACCTCGCAGGTGGCGCTTCCCACACCCAGCTGGTCCGGCGCAGTCGCTGCGGTGTTTGCGATGTCAGGTCCCGGCGATTTCACGCGCAGTGCCGTCGATCTCCCGACGACGGCTCCCTCGAGCCTTCTCGGTGGATGCGTGGCCCTCGGAGAGAAGTGAGTGCGCATGTGCTGTTTCTACGGCAGGAGCTCCCATTCTGTGTTGTTTCATGTTGTTTCTTGGTTCCCGTGCCGCTTTTCGTCTTCAGAAAGTGATGGAGTGCGAAGCTGCAAAGCTTGGTCGTGCCGGGTTGAGAGCCATGAGCAGCGATGTAGAGGATGAGGAAGATACGGGTCACGCAGGACTCACTTTCAAACTTGCCTGCAGAGACGGGTCCGGCTGAAGGTGTGCTGCGATTCATTTACATTGTCCATTTGGTAAGTTTGGAGCCAACTGACCCGACTGACATCAATTGTTGGACTTGCGCTGGGGCCAATAAAGAATAACAAAGGTAGCACAATCTTGGACGAGAGGCACTAGTCAATCCAGAGCAGTGAAGGAGTTCACTGAGTTCATGCCTCCCGCCGCATGAGAGGAATCAATCTCACAATTCCTGGCACTGCGCGGACGCCATCGACCGAAAGTGTTGTGGCATGGTTTTCAAGCAGAATTTATCTGAAGGAGGACGACTGAATATCCGAATTTCCTTGCAATGGATGTTGCACTTCATTGCACCACTTCCAAACTGCCAGCAGCTATCCGTGAGGAACTTGTATTGGTGGAGCCTGGCCGCCTATTTTTTTGGGGCACCCCTCGAGGTATAGATGATCGACTCTTGTTTCAAGATTTCAGGATGCTTAGCCATGGCAGATAGTGCCACACTCTCTTGATATTTGTTGATTGTTCTGTTTGTTTTGAAGAGGCTTCACTTCTTCCGACTGCAGTGCCAAGCGGCCTGCCTCCTCAGGACTGCAACAGATGTTGATGCCAGTGTTCAGCAAGGAACTCAGCAAAGTTGACGGAGGGAGGAGCTGGGTCAACGAGCCCATCTCTGGAAGGAGTGATCCATTGACATATGCGTTGAGAAACCTAAGGTGATGTTTCTGCGTGACAGCTTTTACATAATTGACGGTGCCTTTCAATGCCATGCAGTGGTTTGTTGAGTAGAATGGGCGATGATAAAGTGTACCAAAGACAAGCTTGCGGTCCTGTGAGTTGCTTTCTTGCCATCACACCAGGGCACGCACAATACGCAGTTGAACTGCTCACTTTTCTCGGGCCTGATGCAGATAGGAGGCATTTTGCCATTGAGGTCACATACCGCGACACGACCACTGTGAGCGATTTGCCCTGCTACACCATGCGAGAGCCATTGTGAAGAGATGTGGCCATTTGGTTTCACATTTGCATTCTTGTTGCCCTTGTTGCCTTCAACTCTTGGACCCACTTACTTGTGGTATAGAAGAACGCCCTTTTAGCATTTTACTCTTTTGGCAGTGCCTACTGCACACGATATCTGAGGATTTGATGGTTTGGCAGACTGCAGTGGACATGTGAAGATGTACGTTTCGCATTTTCCTTGCATATCTTGCGTTGCTGCTGCTTGGCAAGATTGTGGGTGATCCATTTTAGATTTTAGATGACGTTGCAATAGGGGAAATAGTAGTGAAGCTCTTGGCACGGCTGTGTCTTCGCAACTCCAGTTCTTACAACTTACAACACTCAAAACTCAAAACCACGAGCCCCTGACATGGGTTGTCGTGCGCGTTGCAGGTATACCCGTTTCCTTCAGACTGACAAGAAGCCTTCAAGATTGCACGCTGAAGGGAAGAAGAGTGCATCCTAAATCCTAGCTGCTCCTAGCTGTTGACACAAGAAAGCTCAAATGGAACCAAGCACATGCATGCATCTATGCAGAATTGTGCAGAGTTTGGCCTGATGAGCCGAAGAAACCCTCACACGCACAAACCCACTTCCCCACAGTGCCACAGCAAGAGGGTAGGCGCACTGCGTTCCTGATGAACCTACAACGCCACCACAAACCCACACACACATGCACATGCACAATGAAATCAGACTCATAGCTTAGTTGCAGAGCCGATCCAAGGTGATTTGCCAGTTTATGCGCCTCTTTCCCGCAGTGCGCTTTGAGCTTGACTACGATAACATGTGGCGTACCCGTTTTGAGACAGGCAGGCAGAATGCCAGTCCGGATGCTGCGAAGATATTCGATGTAATGGAGGGCGCGGTCAATGGAGGATAGCTACCAACAGCAGAGACACGTTCTGACTGGCTATGCGTGGCGTTGGTGCTGCCATGCTGATGAAGCGAGGAACATGACATCAGCATGACCAAGCTCTCTACAGTCACGAGCCCACCGGCAGCATGAAGGGCAAGAAGACTAGGTTCGCACTTCTGCAGGCTGCAGAGGGACCGTTGTCCCGTTGTGCCCCACTCAGTCCAAAGCAGCTTTAAGACGACTTAGTGGAGAGAGTGCGGACAAATTCGAAGGTCTGACACTTGAGGCTTGTGTTAAAAAGGGCAAGCAGCGCCTTGTTGCCGTGAGTTTGCTGGAACCCAGCGGCCTACTGTTAGCTCTTGGATTCTTTCGGTGTGATAGGCTGACGATAGACTCATGCACGTGCTAAAGTTTGCTTCCAGGCAGCACCGCTTACTCCACAGTCACCAAGTTTGCCTGAAATTTCAGCCACTTGGCGTTTGGCTTTCAAGGGCCAGGATTTGGGCCTTCCAACCGCCCGACCCTTGTGGTTTCTTTCTGCTTATTCAGGCACAAGAAAAGACATGGACACGGGATCTCAACATGCAGGGCTTTAGCCACACACTCACCACCCACATAACCC